CTTTATTCATGATCGCCACGAATCATTGTGAAACGTGATGCAAATCGAGTTAATTCTGCGCAGAGAGGTGTTATGATCGATAAACACGAACATATAATGATATCGCGCATTCCATCGACGTGACACATTCGCTTGTTCGTAAACAATTCAAAACTGCGTTTGTAAAGTGCATCGTTAAAGGGTTTCACGATAAATTGGCCATTATGATGGCAGAAAATCTGTGGAAAGAGCATGAAGAAGAGTATGAGTATGGTCTCGGAGATGATGACACTGATGACGTGACGTCCAATCAGAAACCGACCGTTGTTTTAATGGGCTTGAAAAGGTTCCTAGTTTCTCACTGAATTAAAACGCATTGCTTAATTGATTCCCTGATTTCATTATGCCTTTCTTTTTCTGCTTGTAATCAGCTCAAAACATTGTTGATTTGAAATCTGCCTGCAAACTGTAGATGTCAAGCAGTTTTCGTACCTGGAATATTTGTTAGTTCCAGTTGAAATTTTGATGTTTGATTGGGAGAGGAATGAAGTTGTAAAGGATTTCACCAGCAATCGGATATTTCAGAAGCGGCAAAACGTCGATCCGTAAGGTGGTGTTCAATAAGATGTCTCCGAATGAAACACTTTTCGTTGAGAGTACACCGCGAGTCACAACCGAAACCGTCACGAGTTCGTTCATTAATTTTGAAACGATTGAATTTCCGGGGCAAATGAGTCCCTTCGATGCGGCAATGGATCCACATGGAACGTTCAATCGTTGTGGTGCGTTGCTGTTCGTCATTGACGCTCAGGTTAATTTAGGTTTAATTGTTTTTGATGTTTGATTTCGTTCTTTCCATTCGCTGATTACTCCTTCGACAATTTGGATGGTACATTCTGTGGTCGTTTTGTTGATCGTTGTATTGAATTCATTCGAATCGATTGGTTTTTGTTTAAAAGATTTATCTGAAATTATTATTATTTAATATTCGTTAACCTTATAGTCGTAAATAATTGTCATGCGACAATGCTGAATGCCGATCAGGTTCTAAGTTTATATTGATATTGAGCAATCGTAATTCATGCTCGCTTTCCGTTCAGGATGATTATACAGAAGCTCTGAAACGAATGTGTGAATACTTCAAACGTGCATATGCAATCAATCCAAATATCAAATTTGAGGTTGGTTGGGAATGTTTGTTTCGTTGTTGAAATATTGTTGAAAATTCAATTAAAGTAATAGTTTCTGAGTTTGAGCAGATAAGCGATCCTTTTGAACTGTGAAATGCTTCTGATAAGAGATAAGAGATCGCTCTGCATTCATCCGACAGTGTTGCGTTCATTCAAGCGAAACGCTTGAATGAATGTTCATTAAAAATGCTCATCCTTCATACGATTTTGTTCCTTTCAAGTTAGTTTTCGACTGCAGTGAATTCGATGTGATCTGATTGAATTCTCGCAGAATGCGTACAGTGATAGTTGAATTTTTAGGTGTTTATTCATAAGGTGGATGGCTTAAATGAAGAGATAAAACTAGAAACCCAACGAGATATATTCCAACGAGTGCAAGACGATATGACTGACGAAAATCTAGATCAACTTCATATAACGTTTGATCGTTCTGTTTTCTTTATATTTATTTCACTCTTCTTCGTAAAACTTCTCTTTTTTGTTGGAAACGATGTCAGTAAAAACAAAATATAAGTATTCTTATTTATTTCAGTTATAATTTGACGTCAATTTACGATCATTCNCGATCATTCGATATTCGAAGCGTTCAGTAAGGTTGTTCAGAAGCTGATCAGACAGCTCTCAACACTCGAACGACTGCTGGACATTTTCAACCAGGTCTATCAGTTTCTCCACTTTAAGATTGCAAATATTGCTCGTATCTGGTGGTTCATAAGTCGTTAAATTATTCTATAGAATCTTCAAAATCTTCCTTCCGATTATGATTCAATCTGCTGTATTTCTACAAATGAAGCAAATTGATTCATGACCAAAACTTCATCCTGAAATCTGTTAACCGAAATAGATTCTACTATTCCTGTCTGTTCATTTAGTAGCAGAAGTAGTAACAAGTTCATAGCAAATGTCTTCAGTGTAGTTGGTGCGTTAAATGAAATCGGCGATCAGCAATAATTTACAATGATTTTAACTTCAGGGTTCAAATGTTGAGAAGGCATTCCTGTTTGATGTAGCCAGTAAGATTTATGTGGCCACCGATTCGGCGCCAGTTGATATGGCTACGTACGAGTTATGCTGTGATATGATCGATGTCACCATTGATATTTCGGCGATTTACGGGTCAGTTTGAGTACATCCCGAGTTTTGATACTCCACTCAATTAATTGAAATATTCCATAGTTTTTGTATTGTTTCATTGTAATTGTTTGCGTTAAGGTGTAAGGACGATAGTGCAGTAAATGCAGCATTTGACTCACAATCACAAGCAGTCATCCATTTGAAAACGGATCAGGTTCTATTCCTTCGTCAGGTGAGTCGTTTTCTTTTTTGCAGTCTGACCGTTCAGTTGCGTGATTCATTTTTGAGGTTTTCTCTGAATTGATGGATATTTGAAAGTATTACTGGTTAAGGTGAACATGTTCTTGGCGTTGGTTTGCATAATCCGTGCGGAGAATTTCGAGAAACAAGGCCTTATCGACTACAATTTTCACTGTTTTAAAGATGTAAGTTGTTTCATCTTTTTATGTGGAACTCGGATTATTCACTTTTGCTTATTTGAATGATGTCGAATTTTTTGTTTAAAATGTGATATTTCAATCGGGAAATATGCAAAACAAGATAAAAAAGGTAAAAATCAAGCATTCAAATGCGTTGAAAACTTAGTTTTATCCAAAAAATCATGGAAAATTGTTGTCAACTCAAAACTTTTTTAACTTCTGATATAAGTGGTGCGAGATGTTCGGCGTAATGTTGAATACTTCCACAGATATAACTGAAATATCCGATGGTGTTTTTCGATAATCTATCCGATTTGAATTTCAGGCCATAGAGCGGGTATTCCANNNTGAATTGTACCTAGATTACTGCCTACGTACACAAAATTGTTGAGAATCCGTCTTTCTGTCTGTTAAAGTGACATTAAGTTATGATTTTCAGTGGAATTTCCCTGCCCAAGACATCGTTCCCCTTCTTGCAGTCGATTAGTTTCTGTTATCTGAAGTGTTTTATATCCAATCCATTTTATGGACTGGAAATAATGGGGATCGGTAGACCTGCGCCCACATAGAGAGCGAAGACAGGTCGCAAGGTAATCGCAAGGACTCAGCAATGTTTTCGATTTTTTCTCCACTTAGTGTCACTTTCTCGCCTGTTTGCCCCATCTCGAACTAGAAATCCATTCATCAATGGTGCATCAGTTCGTTGAATTTGTTTTTTTTTTTGTTTTGCCCGATAGTGATAGGAGCGATGAAGATTATTTGTTGGATTTGATTTGGTCATTTGTTTGAGTTCGAAGCATTTTATGGATTTCGCGTGGTGCTGTAATTAATTGCTCGTTTTTGTTCGCATCCATAGGCAGTTGTTGTTGAATACGCTTTGAATTATATAGCCAAACTCATCTTTTAGTCTCATTATTGTAACGTAAGAATAGTATAAGTCATCTTCGTTGATGCCTTTCGTAGAATTAAAGCCCGATAATAGGCTGTGCATAGAAGTGAATGGTTGAGATGCATCATAACTAAAGTCGGAGTTTGAATGAATATGATGGAGTATTAAGTGTTCAGTCGTCAGATTTGATAATTTCGTTTGAAGCAGTCGGGGTTCTAATCAGAGAAACTGATTAAGTACCACTGGAAGGAGGGAGATGATGAAGCAGAATTACTCAAATTTGAAAGAGGAATAACCAGTTATGAGTTCAAGGCAGGGAACTGGCCTATTGTCTGGCTTTTGTGGTAGATATTTTGATAAGTTCAAAATCTATTCTTGAAGATGTGCAATTATTCTTCTTATTGTGATTTGAATTGCCATCATTATTTGATTAGGTAGGATAATTCGTAATCTGTAGCAGTCACTCCATATATACGTAGAAGTAGAGTTTTCCTCAGTGTTTATATTCCCTCATCGTTTCCGATTTTCAATTATTTGCTGAGAATTTGGTCGTATTGTTTAGTTCCGTGTATGTTTTTTTATGTTGTAGTGAGAATTTGTTTTGTTTTAATTTTATTGTGTGTTGACAATTGATCCCGCAGTTTCTCAAGTTGCATTCGAATTGTCAAAATCTATGAATAATTTCGCGAATGACTGTATTCGATTGGTTCTCATTTAAGATGTTTCTCGTTCTGAGTTGAAGAAGATTTGGTAAGATTGTCACAGGATTCGAATGGCTGAGTAGAACTGTGGGATCAATTGCCTTCTATTCTCAGTTGAAGTTATGAGCAGGGTATCGAAGAAGAATAAACTTATGAGCAGGGTAAAAGCGCGATTTTCCATATAGAAGAGGAATCCACGTAGCTGGTGATAAGCACTGAGAAATGGTGCTTCAAATTCGTACCTCAAAATTTGTTATTTAGATATAAGGGAAATTAATTTTCAGACCCCACTCCAAGCTATGAAAACTTCGTATCATGTTTAAAGCTCACTAAATTAGTTTTTCTCGCAGTGTGGTAGATTTTAGGTTGATGTGAAGTTTGTGGCATTTGGTTGATAGCTGACTGGTTCAGTGATAAGAATGAATATTATCTGAATCGTTATATTCCTCGATGATGACTGATTAGAGGTGGAATTGATCTGATATGACAATCGAATAAGTGATAGATAGGTATGGGTGTTTGCGGTGTCGTTGTTTTTGTCGAGTGAAAGCAGTTGGATAATGAACATTCTACGTAACGAGTGGGGTGGATATTGTCATGATTCCATTGCTGTTATTATTATTGTTTTATTTGTTTTTACTATTGTTCAGTTTCATTTGTTATTGTAATATTCGTAATGAATTCATTCTGTAAATTAATGAAGAAGTTATAAATAAAAAATTTCATACTTCCTTTGACTTTCAATGTTGTTCATTTAGTTCCGAGGACGGGCCTGGAAAGTCAGTCCTCATGCTAGCAATATGCATAAATCATCATCGCTTGGCTATTAGGCAAAAAACGCGAAACGCGAAATTCTTTGGTAGTTTTATTGCATTATCATACACTTGAAATATTGCATAGAACAATTCAAATGTGAAATTATTTCATTGAAATTGTTCAGTATGCGTTCAACTTATAATATATTTATGTACACATCATACAATTGTTGCTGCTGACTTCAAACATAATAAGTACATAAGTACATCATGAATTTACGGAATTCAATTTGTGATAAAATGCGCTTGTTTTAGAAAGACGACGATACAATTTCAAATATAACATTGCTTCATTTGCTTGC